TCATCACTAAATACTTATCTACAACATTTAGGAAACACTAGGTTTTAGGGATAAGTCATGGGACATGGGGCTTCCCAGGTGGTACTAGAAGTAAAGAACCCACCTCCAATGCAGGGAATGTAAGAGACTCCGATTTGATCCCTGGGGTTGGAAAGATCCCCTGGAGAAGGGCATAGCAACCCACTCCAGTATTCTTGTCTGGAGAATCCCATGGAGTCTGATGGGCTACAGTCCATAGGGTCACAAAGAGACAAAACTGAAGCGACTTCATGTATGCACACATACAGGAAAGATATATAAGATATGTGAAATATACAGACCCATAACATTTGAAGAAACTTGCCAACTTGTGAAGAAAAAAAAATAAAATAACAAGTAGCATACATTAGGGCCAGATACACCATTAACAATATGTTCTAAACAGTGAGATCTCTGTGGGAAACATTCCGCAAGGATGGGCACTAGGCAAGGGGTAGTATCAAAGTGGTGTGGTTAAAACACATCTGACATAGGATTCAAGAAAAATCAGCAAAAACTATTACAAGAAGCGTACCATCCAAGAGGCAAACAAGACGCGGTGCATACCATCAAGGTACACAGATTTTTCTGACTTGGTACCTGCTATTCCTTCTGGGGACTCTCCATACTGCCTGCCGACTCCCATGCTCACTCTCAGTAGGCAAACCTGTTAAAAGCTGTGACTGCATCATGCACTCCTTTCATCACACCTGCAATTTTGCTACTGTCTGTTACCTGACTAACATCTGCCTCACTCACTAGACTTGCACCGCCATGTGACTTTAACTGAGATCCTTGTCAGTGTTGGGTCACCAGTCAGCCGGGCATCTAGCACTGCACCTGCACGCATGCATGCTAAGTCACTTCAGTCGTGTCCAATTCTTTGCGACCCCATGGACCGTAGCCCTCTAGGCTCCTCTGTCCATGGGCTTCTCCAGGTAAGGACACTGGAGTGGGTTGCCATTCCTTTTCCAGGCGATCTTCCTGACCCAGAGATTGAACTGCGTCTCCTGCATTGGCAGGTGCGTTCTTCACCACCAGTGCCACCTGGGAAGCCCACCCGCATGTGTGATGCTCAAAGCTGGAGAAGGAAGGATGGAAAGAAGAGGCAGACAGGTCTGTGCTTGCACCGAAAGACAAGCAGTACATAAGTAAGTGAGGCGAGACAGGAACCTCTGTAGGGAGGACAGCATGAAAAAAAAGCATCACAGTTAAGAAAGCAAAAGGTATATTGAAGGAATGGTTAATAAACCTAAGATATAATCAACAAGGACCTACTGTATAGCACAGAGAGCTGTACTCAATATTCTGAAGTAACCTACATGGAAAAAGAATCTGAAAAAGAATGACAAAAATATATATGTGTGTGTGTGTATAAATGAGCCACTTTGCTGTACACTTGGAACTAGCACAACAGTGTAAATTAGCTGTACCCCAATATAAAATAAAAATTATATTATAAAAAACACCCTAGAACAGAGGGCTTTCTCGGTGAATAGGTTTAAAACAGAAGATAATGGAAGGATTTAATATCAGGTTAAATAGTTTTATATTTTTTTTCTACAGGCTTGGGAGCTATTGAAGATGTTTGAGAAAGGAAAGCATCTAATTAAAATACTGTTTATGAATAACAATCTGGCAGTGAATTGAGAACCAGGAGACACTAAACCAGTTAAGAGACTTGCAAAACCTTAGGGGAAAGGTAACTGCCACAGATCCTAGTGTAATACAAGTGTCAATACTGTTATTAAATTGAGCTAGTGAAGTCTGGACTAAGGTGCAGGATGCTGAGCACAAAAAGAATTAGAGACAGACTCAAAAGAAATTACAAAGCAGGACATATAAGCAAGATCCAGACAAAAAAAGAAGGGAATTGAATTAAGGCACCAGCAGGAAGCAGATGCTTACACTTAAAGGGCTAACTGGACATGATTTAACGAAGAGATTATCTGCAAAGGTATGGGAAGGGTCAGGGCTGGTGAAGCACCCAGGGACTTGGAACAGTAGGAAGACTGTGTGTGTGCCTAAGTCGCTTCAGTCAAGTCCAACTCTTTTTGACCCTATGGACTGTACCCCGCCAGGATCCTCTGTCCATGCGATTCTCCAGGCAAGAATACTGGACTGGGTTGCCATGCCCTTCTCTAAGGAAGCCTTTCAGTTCAGTTCAGTTGCTCAGACATGTCCGACTNGAACTCATGCCACTGCCAAAGTTCTGCTAATGCCTGCCACTGGCCTATTCTAGTGAGAAACCAGGGGGCAAGGGAAACTATGTGATGCTGAAAGAACAGGGAAGAATAGACAGAGAGTGGACCTAAAAAGCTAATGAGAGCATACACAGTACAGTAACCAAGGCCAAGGTCCTCACTAAGGATGCTAGGGCTGAGGTATGCATGTGTGCGTGTTTTCCCTAGCCACTAGTTCTAAAAAACTGGAAACCAAGAGACAGACAATAAAAGGGAGAACTAGGAAGGACTGTAAGTAATAGTTCAAGAGGTAATGAACAGTGGAGCATTTGAAAAAATGGAGCTTTTCCAGGGAGAAGTGAGAAGATACAACTCCTATGCCCAATGCAAAAAGCTCAACATGGGGTCCTTAGTGCCATGATACTTCTGTCTCACCCAGAAATGGTAATGCTGTCTAGAATTAGCCTTCCCTAACCTACTCCCTTCTTAAGTCCCACAAACACTATCTACATCTCGCTTTGATCCAAACTTAGTTTCTTCTGATTAGTTGTTTACTGTTTCCTCAATTCCCCAAATTTGGTGCCTTTTATGCGTTTACTAGGTTAAGCTCTATACGGACAAACTGATTGAGGCCTTTCTGTCACACTATTTAAACCAACCCAACCAAAGGAACCCCTTTCTCCCTCTGGAGGATTAACTAAGTTAATCCTCAGACATCTACCTCCCATATCCTATACCTCCTGGGACCAACTCTCACTTATCTTTCACTGGCAGAGGAAAATAACAGAGATAAATCACAGTGAAAGAAAATATCAGAAAGATTCAAACAAGAGATCAATAAAGGTAGGCAGAGGGGGAAATTAGATATCATATTTAACATTCTATTTGCAGGTTAGCCACACAGTAAGAATACTCTGGGCCATCTGCTTTTGAGTTCCAGCTCTGACACTAGCTGACTATGTGACTGAGGAACATTACTTAACCTCCATAAGCCTTGATTTCTTCATTTGTGAATGTGGGACTATCTACCTCACATAGTTAAGTATTTAGCATGAAAATGGACATACTGCAAATAAGTTGCCAACAAAGTTGGCTATTAGAAATCATCATCATTATTTGAATGGTGCTATTGTATTTATGGCTACTTAATTAAAAAAAAAAAGGCTAAAATTAATTATTGGGACTTCCCTGGTGGCTCAGTGGTAAAGAATCTGCCTACCAATGCAGAAGACACAGGTTCCATTCCTGATCTGGGAAGATCCCACAAATACTGAATGAAGTTCATGTGCCCTAGAGCCTGTGCTCTGCAAAAAGAGAAGCCATCACAATGAGAAGCCTGCGCAGTGCAACTAGAGAGCAGCCGCTGCTTCCACAACTAGAGAAAAGCTCACGCAGCAACGAAGATCCAGCACAGCCAAAAAAAAATTTTAAGTAACTATTAATATAAGCTATATAGTTATACTAAGGCACAGATAATGACAAAGGGATATCAGAATATGAATACAGGCTGTGTGAGATTAAGACAGCTCATCCAAAGAATAAATGTAAATTGTATGAGGGGTGAATGGAGGGTAATCCTGGGAGCTGCATGTTCGGACTAGATGGAGTCATCTATTTTCCTTATGCTAGTATAGAAGACTTCCCCTAGGAAGTAGGATCAATCTGTAAAGTCAAGAAAGTCAGCATTTACTGAACACGTACCATGTGCCTAAGACTGTAGTATGTTATGAGTAATTTTTAAAAAGTAAGGATAAGATATAACCCCTAACCTCAAAAACCCTACAATCTCATTGAAAGGGTTATGAATACAATATAAAATAAATGATGAAATTCCAAAGTGCAGACTCTAAGTTCAATAAGTGCCCACAGAAGGGCAAGAGATCATGGGTTAGAGTCCTTGGTGAGAAATTCATGGGAACAGGGTTTTGGAGTGGGATGGGTGAAGGGGGTAGAACTTGAAATAAAGGATATTTCAAAGAGAAAAGGACTGGGAGTTGGAAGCATCCCCAAAGATGCCACTCCAGAGGTTCTGGTATGGGTAACCTGGAAAATCAATTCAACGTGTACCGAATGCCTTAAGTCTGGTAATGTGATATTCGCTGAGGTACAGAAAAGAACAAGATAATCTCTATTCTCAAAGAACTCAAAGCGACCTGACAGAAAACTAGGAAAATGAAACCAAAAAACAGCTATCACTGACAAATGCTATATTACTGGACAGCAGAGAGGAGCAGGAGCTTCTGTGTGAATGGTTTTCTATAACTTAAGAGCCCCTTGGCCTCTGCCCGTCTATCCTCACTTAGCGGAATGGCAATCTAAATCACACTGCCTGATGAAAAAGAGAGCTGAGAGCCAGGATATGCTTTCAGGAGTTAACACATGAGCCGAAGCTTGAAGGGTTAAGTACTGACTGGAGAGGAGACGGCAACGTTGACAGAAAGAACAGCAAATACAATGACACTGAAGTATGAGGGCATGACATATTTTAGGAATCCTACGAAGCTTCCCGTCCTCCCTTCCCGTTCCTCCACCAAGCGTTGTCGGATAATATACAGGCTGACCAGTTCAATTCAAATTTAGATAAACAATAATTTCAAAACATATGTCCCAAATATTGCACACACTTTGGGCCTCCTTTCAATTCATCCCAGTTCGGCTCTCTGGTAGCCCACAACCCGCCTCACTCCCGCCCCCCGGCCCCCGGCCCGCGAATTACCCTCGAGCAGGAGAGAGAAAGCGTGGGAAATCATCACAGGTTTATTTTTCCTTCACTCCTATTTTTTTCACTTTCGGGTCTCCCGCCCAGGCCAGAGGGACGTGTATTGAAGTTCGTTCCGCTCTAGAAGTCAGTCTCTCCCAACTGGAGTTGAGGCGGGGGAAGTACACGGCCACCGACAAAGAACACACCTCCAGTTCTGTAAAAAGTCCCCACAGAGCCAGCCGGCTAGGCAAAAGGAAGTCGCCTACTCCAAGGACCGGAAATCCCGCCTTCGCCGGAGAAGGAGCGGAAGCGAGACAGCCAATGCAGAAGAAGGTAGTTCTCCCGCAGGGGCCCCTGAGAACCCAGCCCCTGTTATGGGGCCGGAAGCAGGCCGGGGGCGGATCTTCCTGCCGGAAGTGGCCAAGCGGAAGTTTCTTTCGGTTGGCAGCCTAAGTGATAGATGTGCAGGCCACCTGAAGCGAGGAACCGAAGCGAGTATTAGACATTCCAAGGCAGTTTGAGAGCTGGAGACTGAGCTGCTGTGGTGCCGCCAGATCATGAGCCCGACCACACACTGGGGAGAGAAGTTCCTGAATCTGCGGGTGCCCCCCGCCGGGGTATTTGTTGTGGCTTTCCTTGCCCGAGTGGCCCTGGTTTTCTATGGGGTCTTCCAGGACCGGACCTTGCTAGTGAGGTATACAGACATCGACTACCAGGTCTTCACGGACGCCGCGCGTTTCGTTACGGAGGGGCGCTCCCCTTACCTCAGGGCAACATACCGATACACTCCCCTGTTGGGGTGGCTACTCACTCCCAACATCTATCTCAGTGAACTGTTCGGAAAGTTTCTCTTCATCAGCTTCGACCTCTTCACCGCCTTCCTCCTATACCGGTTACTGCTTCTTAAGGGGCTGGGTCGCCGCCAGGCTTGCGGGTACTGTGTCTTTTGGCTTCTTAATCCGCTACCTATGGCGGTGTCCAGCCGAGGCAATGCGGACTCGATTGTCGCCTCCCTGGTGCTTATGACCCTGTACCTAATAGAAAAAAGACTGGTGGCGTGTGCCGCTGTATTCTATGGTTTCGCAGTGCACCTGAAGATGTATCCGGTGACCTATATCCTTCCCATTGCCCTCCACTTGCTTCCGGAACGCGACAGTGACGAAGGTCTCCGTCAATCCCGATATTCTTTCCAGGCTCGTTTGTACGAATTCCTGAAAAGGTTGTGTCATCGGGCTGTGCTGCTGTTCGTAGCAGTTGCTGGACTCACGTTTTTTGCCCTGAGCTTCGGTTTTTATTACAGATATGGTTGGGAATTTTTGGAGCACGCCTACCTTTATCACCTGACCAGGCGAGACATCCGACACAACTTCTCTCCATACTTCTACATGTTGTATTTGACCGCAGAGAGCAAGTGGAGTTTTTTCCTGGGAATTGCCGCATTCCTGCCGCAGTTTATTTTACTTTCAGCAGTGTCTTTCGCCTATTACAGAGACCTTGTCTTTTGTTGTTTTCTTCATACGTCAATTTTTGTTACATTTAACAAAGTCTGCACCTCCCAGTACTTTCTTTGGTACCTCTGCCTCCTGCCCCTTGTGATGCCACTAGTGAGAATACCTTGGAGAAGAGCTGTGTTTCTCCTGATGTTATGGTTCATCGGGCAGGCCTTATGGCTGGCTCCTGCTTATGCTCTTGAGTTTCAGGGAAAGAACACCTTTCTGTTTATCTGGTTAGCCGGTTTGTTCTTCCTCCTTATCAACTCTTCCATCCTCATTCAAATCATTTCCCATTACAAGGAGGAACCCCTGACAGACAGAACCAAATATGACTGATAATGCTCCAATCCTTCTGCGACTTGGATTCTGATTGTCCTGAATGGATCAGAGAGAGCTTTGGAGAGATGTTTTTTGTTTTTGAACATCCTAAGCACTCTAGTGAAAGTCCAGTTTGGAGCATAAAACTATTCCAACAAATTTTAATGAATGTTTGCCTTACTTATAGAGGGGGCTCAATAATTGAGTTTCACCCTTTGGGAAATCTCAGGACTCATTCATCTGGGACATGATGGGAAGTAAAGATTACTTGTTTGAAAATGGAAGGGCTAATGAAATAATCAGATGCTAAAAGATTTTTGTAGAAAGGATAGGGGGAATACAGTCAAGAGATGGAATCTAAGCCAGTATTTGTTACAGTTATACTGTGGTACTGCCTGTAACTGTCTTTTATCCCCCACTTTTTTGTTCTAAGGCTTTCCTGATAACTGGGAAAACTCAAAATGTTCCTAAAGTACAGCTTTTAGATATAAAGTGTTAAGTAATACTACTGAGGTTGGGAAAGTTAATTCTGTATTAAAGTGGGGGCTTAGAAGATAATCCAAAGAAAGTAAATTATAGTCATGTTTCATGTATTTGCTTTATAACTTAATTTTTCAGCACTTAATCCTAGTGGTATTAATTTACTGTTTGGTTTTATACAAAAAGGATTGAATTTAAATTCATCCATCTTGGGACTTCCCTGGTAGTCCAGTGGTAAAGAATTCACGTTGCAATGCAGGGGACTTGGGTTTGATCCCTGGTCAAGGAACTGAGATCCCACATACCACGAAGCAGTTAAGCCTATGTGCCGCAACAAAAGAAGGAAGATATCACATGCTGCAAATAAGACCCAGTGCAGCCAAATGAATCTAAAAATAAATATTTTAAAAAGATAAATTCATTCATCTTTAAACTTCTCAACATTTTAAAATAGCATCTTGCTTTTGATGTTTGAGGTCACATACTGTTATGACATTTTAGAACTCTCTTTTGTCTCTGTTTTTAATTTTCTAATTACTAGAAAAGACTTTTGATACAGTGTATAAGTTAATCAAGTATTATCAGTATTGTTAAAATGATTAGAGATTTTAGGTGGTAAAAAAATAAATCATTAATAGGCATTTACCAGCTTAAAAATACCTCACTTATGAAAATTTCATGATAGAAATGAAGACGTGCATAGGAGGCTCCTAGAAAGTGTAAGAAGCATTTTAATAGCCATTAGTAGTTTAGACCAGGAAATTGAGGGAGAGATTGTGAAAATGGGCTTTAGTAGCCAGATGCATTTTCCTTATTACTCTTAATTTTCTAGGAAAAAATGCTTTGTGAGTTTCAAATAAGCAAGCTAAAAAAAAAAAAAACCCATCTAGTTTGGGGACACCCTAACACTCTAAATGTATTAGCAATGAGTGAGTTTGGTTTTATGATTTTGATAGTAAAAGATGAGTAATGTGACAACATTGTTCTTTCACTAAAACCAAAAAACTGCAGAGGAAGTAGTGTATTTCATGTCAGTTCAGGCCTAAAAAAGTCTGAACATAAGATGTCTATAGACAGGTCATAATTAAGAATGCTATTGCTGGCAGCACTTCTTAAATGGATACCTTTTACAACCCACCATTAAAAGGAAGGGGAGAGGACTTCTCTGGTGGTTCAGTGGATAAGACTCTGTGCTCCCAATGCAGGGGATCTGAGTTCAATGCCTGGCCAGGGAGCTAGATCCCACGTGCCGCAACTAAAGGTCCCATGTGCTGAAACTAAGACCTGGCAGAATGGAGCCAAATAAATATTAAAAAAAAAAAAAGAAGAAGGGGAGAATGGGTGACTTTACATGGGTTGCTGTTTGGAAGAAAGTAACAATTAATTGTTGAGGATAGAGCCCCTTCTTGTAACATTTGGTCTCATATGCAACGTTAACATTTGTATATGACTGTTCAATAGTGGCCTTCCAGCCACGGCAGTCTTACTTTTTTTTTTTCTTCATCATTTTATAATAATAATTTAAAAAAAATTGTTTTTCTGGTAGAACTGGGAGGGAAAGGGGACCAGAAATAGATTTTCAACATCTCAATATAATTGGTTTTTTGGTATTTTTAATAGTCACAAGTGTATTTACTTATTCACTTCTTTTTTACTTTAACATTCTTTGTTGTTCGTTACTCTTCATACTTACATTGAAATGCCTAAATAATACTCTATCATATGAACGCTCACATTATAAATGCATCATAAGAGTAAACATTTTTCACATTTTAAATTACCTTAACATTCTTAGAAATCAGTGGGGTTCTGTTGGGATTTTGGAGGAAATTTCATCAGCAAATCCTGCCTTATAAGAAATTCTCTACCAAAGACCTACAGGCATTTCTTAGAAGATGCTGAAAGTGTTCTTTTAGGCTACAAGACATTTAGTACATTAACGCAAGAAAAGATCTTATTTGGTCTCTTGGGCTTTTAAATTTTTTTCATTTGTTTTTGTTTTTTGGTTTTGTAAAATTTCTCATCTTTTCATGTGAGTCCTTTGGTTTCTTTATTAATCCTATTATAACACTTTAAAATTGAATGGCACTTTGGCTTTTTTCCTATATGATACTTTTTGTTCTTATGCCACCCTTTAAGATCAATATATCCATATCTAGATAAACATTAATTATTAACATATGGAGGATGCTTCTCAAGATGGTCTGTGTTCTAAAAAGAGGGACTGCATGACTTATTTTCTTCTGTGGTTGCCTTAATGTCTTCAAAATGTGGTCCCTAACTATCCCAAGATAAAGTCCCTGAATTAGGTCCATTGGAAAGGACCTCTTTCTTATAAAACCATATTCTTTAGTTACTAACTTCTCATCACTTTGCTGAATGACTCTAAGTGACATAACATTGTTTCAAAAGCTTTGGAGAACTTGTCTTTTAGTTAGTTCACTTGTTGAATATATTACTTCTCCAGCTGTTTTCTGTTGTACCACCCTTACCTCAACCATCTGTGCAATGAGTAGAAATGGAAAAGATGGAAAATTCACGTGGGACAGTCCTTAAATGCAACTTCTTGTTTGTCCCCCCACCCCACCCCCAGTGCTTTACCATGAACAGGTTTAAACATTACCCATATGCCTACCATATCTAAGTTAACAACTGACGTTTTGCCATGTTTGTTTTATTTACATACAATTTTTTCCTGAACCACACAAGGTTGAAAACATCATTGAACTTGACCACTAAGTACATCAGCATGCACTGAATAAAAATACTCTTCCTATAAAACTATTATATTGTTATATAATTTTCCATCCTGTCCATTTTCAAATTTCTCCAATTATTTTGTGTTTAATTTTAAAGAATAGACATTCTTGGATCTCAAAGATTCCCTGAAAGAGATGATAAATAATCCATAATTAGGAAGTCTGGATCTTTCCCTGTTATCGAAAGCAAAGTCAGAACTAAGGGATATACCTTTTATCAAAGTCAACCAAACAATTTTGTGCAAATCTTTCTGTCTTCCTCCTAAGAAAATGCAGGGCAGTAATCATCCCTAATAAGTTTTGCAAATAAAAGATTACATGTTTAGATTTTTTGGCTGGGCCATGAGCCTTGAGGGATCTCAGTTCCCTGATCAGAGATTGCACCTGGATCACGACAGTGAAAGCCAGAATCCTAATCATTAGGCTGCCAGGGAATTCCCCCCGTGTAGATTCTTGATATCTGCTTCTCTCTTCCAACAAGTGATTAACTAATTTTATATCTTGATGATAAGCTCTGGCTTTTCATGGCTAAATGATTCCGGGTACCTATTCTGCAATATATGGTTTCATTTAATTTTCACAGCAACACTTTAGAATTGATATTTGTACTTCCATCTTATAGATGAATGAAGAAGCTCAAAGATTAAATGGCTTACAAATAAATTACAGGGCTAGAGTTTGAAGCACATTTTGCCAGACTACATGTCATAACCTTTCCACTGTATTAGGCTTTGGAATTTTCCAGCATCCAGATGCAACAGGTGGAGATTCTGGCAAAATAAATGAAACTCAGCACTACTCTTAACAGTTGCCTTGCCAATCAATTTGTCATTACTCTTTTATGTATTTGTTTGAGGGGCAGTTCTCTTGCAGTTGGGCAAAAGTTTCTGTCATTCCCCAACTTTAGTAATTCCAGACCTTTAGTAACCCCTTCCCACATCCAAACCCTCTCACCAAATTGTATAATTTCTTTGTTACTGCTGACTTTGTAATGTCCTTTCCCTCCATAGCCTGGTCTAACAAGTTGATTTGCTGAGCCACATGTTAGCCCTTGTATTTGTAAATCAATGATTTCCAAATGATTGTTGTTAAATTTCTCTTGCTCTACAATGTACCTTCTGCAGGGTGCATTCATATGGTTAAAACTCGTGTCCTATACTAAAAGTATAGCAAAAGAAAACACAAATTCATATAGTTTAGGTTCAAATGCCAGTGTATAACCTTGGACAGATTTCTTCTATCTAGATAAGTTAGTTTTCCATCTGTGAATTGGGGATGATAATATAATCTTCATAGAATTGTTTGTAAGAATTAAATGAGTTAATACACCCAAAGTGCTTATGCCCGCCTAGGACAGACTGTTCCCATCACCTCCCCAGGTTTCACATCTGTTTACAAGCCTTTAAAGAAGGAACTCCTTTTGAAATCTAGACTTAAGTCTTTTTCTTCCAATTTACTAGAATATAGGAAAAGAACCTGGATTTGTATTAAATAATTGTTTTAACTACCTGTTAATATAAGCTTTATTCCTCCTAATTTTGATCTGGTTCTCTGAGAAGATAATAATTATATGTGAGAATGTATGCACAGGTTTTTCAGATTTCTGGTTCTGTCCTGACAGTTTTGTATTTGTGCATTCGTGTCATACCTTGGCTGACACTACACATTGGAGATTTGGCTTTAGCCCCTAAGTTACACAGCACTTCTTTTATCCTTTGTGTTGAGGGGTCATTCAAGGGTTGGCGTTATGTTGCTGGAAGCACATGTCCTCTGTCTAGATGAGAATCATCAGAATAATAGCGCAAGCATTTATTCAGTGCTGATCCAGGAGAACCATTCATTTAGTCAAAACAAGCATTCATATTCATTACCCTGAACAAAAACCAGACAAAATGGGAATATTTCTAGCTGCTCAGACAGTTTGCTAATTGTTATGTCTGCTATATATGATGAAATGACATAGTGACTGTTTAAAGATAATTTGTAGTGTGAATATTTGAAGCTCAGTGATTTCACAAAGGCAGTTTTTAACCTTTGCTCTCCATCCTTTTGGTGATTATTTATAGATCCAGGCCTATGCCAAGTCTAATAATAGATGAGTAAGACAGGGTCCATGCTCTTGAGGAGTTAATGGTAAAGACAGAAACATTAATATAATAAATCCTATATGAGACCTCATTAAGTTCCACAACAATTCTGTGATTTGTAAAATGAGGCAGTAGAAGGTATTTTACTATTTCCATTTTACAGATAAGAAAATAGAGGCTAAGAAGCATGTGACTTTCCAAGACCAAACGGCTTGTTAGTGAAAAGAGTAGGTCTTCTGATTCTATTCTGTATTTTACATGTCCTTCTTAATTCCATATGATGACAGGTGATTACAGTGAGAAACTTCACTTATTTACCAAATGATGTTCATGTAACAAAAGGCCCCAAGTATCTTTTATGTGCCAGACATTGTTCTAAGCAATGTAGATGCATCTCTGAGTGAGTGAGGCAAAGACCATCTTTACGGAGCTTACAATTTCATGGGAGGCAAAGAATAAGCAAACACATGGCTGTGGTGATTGTCACAAAGAAAAATTAAGCAAGCTAAGAGTGATGACAGTAAGGAGAAGTAGGGGTGCTATTTTAGATAAAGTGGTTGGAGATGGCATCTTGTGGTGGCATTTGAGCAGAGACCTGAAGGAAGCAAAGACCTAGCACTCATGAGGCTCTCTGAGGAGGAGTGTCCCTTGCTGAGTGGGAGGCCACTGAGATAGGAAAGAGCTTGGCAGGTTTAAAGAACAGCAGGAAGGACGGTATAGTGGATGGGAGTATGCAAGGATGAACCAGAATTGAATTCACAGTATCCAGTAGAACATGAATGCTAGTTGAGAAATACAATTAACATTAGTATTTTTATTGGCCTGTAATAGAATGATTTTGAGCTCTATCTGTTTTTCCTGACTTTTGATTACATATTAATTTGTAAGGAAGATAAAATATATATATAAAAACTAATCTGAGCAGTGTTACAAAGTACCTTCACATGTTATTTTGAGACATGAGGATTTTCTTGAATCTATTTTCATAGATGAGAACCCTAAGGCTCAGAATATATGCCCAAAGTCAGAGTTAGTATATAAGATAGGACCAGAACCCACATCTTCCAGAGCTGAAGTTACCACTCCTCTCTCTGTACTACTCTTATCATTAAGATGTGGACTCTAGAAGGTAGACGTTTGGGGGAAAGTTGTCCAATAGAGCATTCACTCATTTAATAAATTTTTCCTGAATTTGTTTTGTTCCATGCTTGGGTCTTGCTTTGTTCCATGCACTCAGCTAGGCTGGGGGTGTGAGGATGGTTATGACAACATTCCTCGCTTCAAGGAGCTCACAGTGTCTCACAGAGGACACAGATGGAAAGGTGATTATAATTCAGTGTGACAATGGCAAGAGCAAACACATATAAAGTAATTGGGAGCGCTTCACTAATCCATCCATTGGACAAAGCTAGCACAGAGCATGGTGCATATTAGTGTTAAATTAGTTAAACAAGGAGACCATTTAACTAAGGTGGTTCTAAAACCTTAGCAGCCTGCATGAGCAAGCTAAAACCTAAGCCTGTAAAGGTTAAGAAAGCCTCAACCTCTCAAACCGAAACCTAAGGAAAACTAGTTTACGGACAACTAAGTAGGTTTTTTCCAAATAACGCAACACCTTGAGCTATAGCCAATCACATAACTTCCTTGCTCTGCTTCTGCTTCTGCTTCTTCCCTGTAAAAGTCTTCCCCTAGTTCCTGTAGGTAGACTGCTCTTAACCACATCCAGTTTGATGCTGCCCAATTTGAGTCAAGTTTTGCTCATATAAGCTTAAAAAAATTAATTGCGTCAGTTTATCTTTTAGCACTAGGTATTGAGATGTTTGTTACTGTACCTGTTTTCCTTTAATACTGAGTAAATATTGGCGGCTTTCTTTGAAACTCCCTTGCTTAAGTCACTCAGTGATTAGTTATACTTTAGATTATCCTTAGCTTAGCTCACGAAACCTAGCCTATAATTCCAGCTTCCTCTTGGGCCTCAACCCACCCTGTGGTCATACCAAACCACACCACTTCCACGCCTCTTCATCTGCCGTTTCTTTGGCCAAAACGTTCTTCTCATCCCCTTGTCTCTCCCACCAGCTCCTGTTCAGTTTAACAATGACCTTCGTGAAACATCCTCTGATTCAGCACCCCTATTATATAGTGCAGATAGCATTGTACAGTAACTTCCCACTTGTGTGTCTGAGCCACCTAGACTGAGCTCCCCAGGGACAGTGATTATTTCTTAGTTATTGATGTTATTTTCCCTGGGTGTTCCCAGGACCAAGAAAAACCAAAGCCATGCTAAGTAAGCTAACTCAGCCATGGCTGAGTAAGCCATGTCATCGAGCTGTTGTGGGCGCCACATACCCTCCTGGGTTTGTTGAATTAAGTTGTACATCAATCTTTCAAGTGGGAACCAGGGATAGTGAGCTTCTTTGCCCAGCTGAGAAAAAGAAAGGGAGCCGTTTCTGGGTGCCTGTCATTTATAAATGCCGTCTATCCACCTAATTTTCTAAGCTAGAATCTTATAATCACCTCCTATTCCTTCTTCTTCACTTGCTGCCTGCCTTCCTATCTAATCAGTCACTGAATCCTGTCAGCTCTCCCTTTTAATGTCCCTGGAGCCTGCTGGCATCTCGCCATTGTCACTGCCGATTCTACAGTTCAGGTCCTCATTATCTCTCATCTGGAATCGATGGCTCCTGACTGGTCCTCGCGGATCCCATCTCTCCCGCCCTCCACTGCGCCTCTCATTTATCCTCCCAACTGCTGCCAGAGCATGCTTTCCAAAGCAGACTGATCCTGTCACCATCCTGATAAAAGCATCCTAGAGGACTCCGTGCGTGACCGGCAAGAGGAAGTCTAAATTCTGTAGCATCCTCCATCTTGGGCCAATTTCTTCTACTCAGCCTCTCTCTACCTTCTGAATGATGCTTAGTTTTCTGAAATCACCACACTATTAAGCCTTTGCCCTTGCTCTTTCTCTTTCTCTGCCACATGCACTTCTCCTGTTCTTCAGATGAACTGTCACTCATTTTTTAAGACCCAACTCATGGGTCCCTTTGTCTACCAGGAGGCATGCAAGGTGAGTTTATACAGAGACATTAATTAGTAAGAAAAGAAAGAAAGATAGGATCAGAGTTGTAAGATTTGGCAAACATTATTATTGCACTTGGTCTAGTATAGTATTATACTATTATAATATATGTCCATATGCCCTTTCATGTACATGTACAGACCTGCAGTATTATCTCCTTTCAGAGTGGGTTACCTCCTGGAGCACGGGAATTGTTCTGTGCTTGTATCCTTAGCATACAGCATACATTCTCATAAATATTTGTTAAATACATGAAGCTGGAATGGGGAGGGAACAGATGCTTACTAAACACCTGTTGGGAGCTCAATAATAATGATAATATATGCTTTTCACACATTTCATTTAATTCTCAAAACAACTTTTTGAGATAAGCATTTGCTGACCTGAAAACAGGCCCAGGGACGTCCCTGGTGGACCAGCGGCTAAGGCTCTTGCTCCCAATGCCGGGGGCCCTCGTTAGATCGCTTGTCAGGGAACGCCGAGGTCCCACATATCACCTCTAAAGATCCCGCGTGCTGCAACTAAGACCCGGTGCAGACAAATAAGTAAATAAATTTTTTAAAAAAGAAAATAGGCTCAAGTAAATATTATTTCAAGTAAATATTATTGTTTTTTAAGGTCATAGACTTGTAAAGGATG